AATCAGATCAACAATAAGTCAACAAAATTTATCGCCTTTAATGCTTATGGCAATTGAAAAAGATATCAAGATTCAGAAAACGCAAATTATTGATACTATAGCTAAGTCATCTAAAATGTTACATGAATTGCTCATTTAGTATTTAAGTTTTTTATATTTAGCTATTACTTTCTTTAAAAATAATGTTCAGTCGGGCTCAGACAGCCAAAGCGATAACTAGTGCACCGCCGTAGTTTCGTAATGCGTCGCGTATCGTACCTTATCTATCCATTTAATTATCGCAACGAGGCATTAAAAACGTGTAATGGCCACGGTTTCACCAATTGTTATTCTAAACAAAAATAAAGTTCTCAAAAAGAAAACTATGGAAAATCCTACAAAGAGAGCTCTCTCGTCGACCTCCTCAAACTCCCCGACCTACGTGGATAAGAAAAACAAAGTTTTTGTAACACCAAATCGTTTCGAAGTTCTAGAAATGGAGGAACAAGACAATGTTTTCGTGCAAACAGAATCTCAGCTCGCCTCACAAACTATCAAGACCTCGCCAGAACCGAGTAAGATAAAACTCCCAAATATCGTACTAACAAACGTTACCGATTTTATAACCCTCAAAAATGATTTAACTAGCATAGTGGGACCAATGGGTTTCACATGCAAAGCTAATAGATCTAATATTATCGTTCGGTCAAACACACGCGAAAACTGGATGGCCATTAAATCATATCTGGTTGAAGCCGATTACGATTACCATTCTTATCTCCCCCGTTCCTCACAACCTTTCCGAGTCGTGCTACGCCACCTTCACCACTCCACGCCTACCGCGGATATTATAAACTACCTTAGTGACCTAGGGCACAAAGTCAACAGTATCTCAAAAATAATACACCACACGAACAAGTTACCACTTCCTCTATTTAATATAGGCCTGGCCCGCAACAACAATAATCGAGAAATATTCAAAATAACAAAAATATTAAACTCAATAGTGAAATTTGAATATCCAAAAAGGCGGTCTGATCCCCCTCAATGTCATAATTGCCAAAAATATGGACACACACGTAATTATTGCCATCACTATCCACGCTGCGTAAAATGCGGATCAGAACACTCAACTAACGAATGCACAAAACAACGGGAGGAACCCGCAAAATGTGCAAATTGTGGTGGAAACCACACCGCAAACTACAAAGGATGCCAATCCCTTAAAAAATTACTAAACCTCACCAAACCTAAAGCTAAAAAAATAAATAAAGAACAGCAACCTATTCCAACACTTGCTATACCGCCTATACCACCTCCATCTCGAAGAAGTGGAAATGAAGCCTCCAGTTCAAACTCAAAAGGAAAACCGTCATACGCCGAAATCGCAGCTAACAGACCACCACCCGATCAATCTCTACACATCATCACCAAATTCCTCGACGAACTAAAATCTATACTTAACCCCCTTCTTACTGTATTAACATCCCTAATAAACAAAATAACACTCCCTATAACCCCTACTCCATAACACACACACACCACATATTCCGTACATCAATAACACAAACACACAGTATATCAATATTATTATATACATAACTTTAAATTAAATTGCTATTGTTATTGTTATTTATTTATAACTAACTTGTTGTTACATGTAATATGTAGATACATTTTAATTTTTAATAAATAAAAAAAAAAAAAAAAAAAAAATAATGTTGTGTCAACTGTTGTTCATTGTTTGTCTTCTTTATTATATTTTGGATGATATCTTTTTCGTAATTTGAATTACATTTTGTTTAGTAACTTATTAAAATCATGTGTATCATTAAGCACGTCAGAAGTTAATACTTGGTTTTAGCAGAGAATTGTAAAAGTGGAAAAATTTTAATCGAGCGACTATTTGGTGAGTGGGGGGAGGGATGTAAAAATGTTAATGAATTATTTTTTGTAAACAAACTTATGATATATTATGTCAGAATTCAGTTTTTTTCTTATGAATTAAAATAAAAAATGACTATGGTTGTATGTTTAAAGTGAAACCTGTATAGGGAACAGCACCGTTTGATGCTGACCGTTAAACACCAATTATTAACTCAGCGTTAAACGGTGCTGTTCCCTATACAGGTTTCACTTTAAACATACAACCATAGTCATTTTTTATTTTAATTCATAAGAAAAAAACTGAATTCTGACATAATATATCATAAGTTTGTTTACAAAAAATAATTCATTAACATTTTGGCTGGTTGAGCGGGGGGGGGGGGATATACAATAACTCTAGGAACGACCTAGTCCATATATAGTAAATTAAGAAAAAAAATCGAGGCCCCTGAGAAAAATTGCGGCCGAGGCCTTTTATATGCCAGGCCGACACTGCTTAGGTGTTAGGCTAAAAAGATTAAACATTTATGTGATATAATTACTGCCTTTACAGTGGTTTACTGATAATCGGTATTTTCGAGTTTGGGATTGTTAAATAGTTGCTTAACATTTAGGTATAATTCTACCGCAGTATGTGTCGATGACGAAATGGGCAATTTCCGAGCATCAATGAATTTAAATATAAATATTATTTTTTAAATAAAGTTGTATTTTGATTATTATGCAAATATTATATTTACATTTTTTGGTCCTTCTTTTCTATTGCATCCCGCCCCCTCCTCCGTCACCAAGAGGTGAACTCTCAAATACGTCCCTGAAGATCCCGATGAATGTTCAATGTTTGTTAATTGTTTAAATAACAAATATATGCCAATTAAAGAACACGGTATAATATATTAAAAATAACATAATTTCAAAAAACATATTCTGTTTATATGCTAATTCAACAACGGTTTCCAAACTATAATAGTTAATAATTATTAATTATAATAATAATAGGAGGACGATTTATTCAAACGAATATAATAATAATGTATAATAGGCGTATTAGAATAATAATAATTAATAATAATAATAATATATACGTCGCATGTCGTTTCGAAAAAACGTGTACATTTTAGGCCATTTATTGCAATGAGAGACAGTCTGTTATTGTAGAAATTATAATTTATAAGTATCATGCAATAGCCACAATGAGAAAACAAAGTATTCAAATAATGAATGAACAAAAAGTAGGTAGTAATTTAAAAACTACAGTACATACGTGATAATGTGATCCGTATTATACTGTTTGATAATACTCAATAGTATTAATAATAAGGTTTTTCTATTTTATTCACGTTTACTTGGTAATAGATCTATGGACATTTTGTTAGCTTGAGTAATATTATTTAACAATACCTGTCAGCTTCTGTTTAAAAAAAAAAAAAAATAACCATGATTTACAAATATTTCCGCAAAATACCGAACATGTCGTTGCAATAATAGGCCTAAAAATCAACCGAAGTAATCGGGGAACTAAAAATACTTACAATAGTTATAATTAATTCCAAACGTCGCAATGGTTAAAAAGTCAAATTTCAAATGGCCTACGACATAATATAAAATATACAGCTTGTAGGTGATAGGTATGTACATTTTATATTATATAATAATATAATAGTTATATACGAGATTCAACAGGTACAAAAACCCTATACAAAAATAAATAATAAATATAATGTTATGTATATCGTATAGTAAGTAGTGTATAAATATATTCATATTTTAACATTACATTTCATGTGTACGCACTTAAATAGCATAACAGTGTGTAGTTTTAGATATTCTATACGCAGATAAGAATAGCCGTAATTAGATATACTGTATCCAGTATCCACGACCTATAGTACTTATTATAATATTATACTAACTACCAAGTATAATGTTGAGTATAGATAGCACTAGTATTATACAACAATATTACAGTAATAATATAATAATACTATGTAACAGGCCTTATTCCAACAAACCAAATAGAACCAAAAGTGGACGGTATTAAATACCATAAGTGCAGCAGTCGGCGACTTGACGATCGTGTGGGCAAAGTCAGAATATAATATTTTAAACCTGTACCACCTGCCTATTTTTTAGATTCATATAACCACTGCGCCGCTATTAAAATAAGAATAAAAATATATACCGTAGAGCAATATGTTTGGAAATTTCGTGACCGAGGGGGCGAAGATAACTTTAAGCTTTCCAATTCCAACATTCTCGTAATCCGGTCCTATACATTATGATATTATATCGTAAAATATCAAAATAATAAACTCTCGTAAGTCGTGGCTCTTAAGAATTACCTCTACTACCCCCTCTTCAGAATATCAGTCATCAACACATGCCACTGTACATTGGACAAAAATAAAAAAAAAATCTTTAGGATAGGGCCTGCTACATTCTATAATATGTATAATAACTATCCTATATACTCAACGATATCATAATATAAATACGTACGTATAAAAAAGGCCCAACTGAAAACAAATAGGCGGGGGGCACAGTTGTTTTTTAATATTTTAACCAAAATACAAAATCATTCTTGATACAATATTAGAACCAATAATTACTGACGAATTTTTCTACTAATGAAAAAAACTCTAGGATCCGGAATTCCGGACCCCTGGACCCCGCCTATGCTGTCACGTCGTTGCGCATTATACATATTTCTTATTAGGTATGTATATAATATAATTATATTATATATGGTATACGCTATATAACAGTATTACAGAAATATAAAATATATAAGGTCATGTTCATATAATATATAGGTCATATAAAGTGAAGTGTGTTAATTAAAAGGAGTATAATAATATAGTAACCCTATAGTTCTGCAAGATGTAGTGCGAATATTTTTTAAGTGCAATTTTTTTTTTTTTTATACGATATAATATGACTAAAACGGCCTCCCTGATGGGATGATAATAGTATGTCATTCAAAAAAAAAAAAAAAAAATGAACTGCACTGAAATATTCGCACTGCATCACGAATATACTGACTAGGGGCACTAGCCTGGGGTTACCGACGATCCAATTAATGAACGTACCCACATACACTACGGCATATATCTTATATTATAAGTGGTGCTCGGTCACTTCCACCTCTTGTTCTGCACCGTGGCGGTGGTCCGCCGGCCGACCTCGAACGATCGGACGTATTCGGGCATGTCTCCGACACCGACCAGTATGCGGGTGTACAACTTCTCGGTGTCCACCCGGAAAACTTCGTACTTGAGCGTGTTCAGCCCGTCGGCCCTGTAACGTTTCTGGCTGGTGTGCACCAACTTGAGTCGGACGGCGTGAGCGAGGGGTTTGCGCTTCACGTGTTTGACCATCGTGTACCGGGCCAACCGCTCGGGCGGCCGGGTGATCGGCAAGCCGACCTGTTCCAACCTGCAGGGCGGAAAAGACGAGGCATATCAATATGTATTTTGTTTAAGGGTAGGTTGGCAGTTCTTGGCGGGACGACATATGGATGGGGTGAGCGAGGTGTGACCTTTCCGAGGTGCAGGTGGGTTGTTCGTGATGAAACACTATTGCTGCGAACGGCTAGTTACCTATTGCAGGGTGATAAGGTACACTTTTGGCGAAAACCGGCCACGTCCGAATAAATGGTATTGAAAGTGCTCGAGATGAATCACTATGCAGTATATGCGTAGGTAACATATTTTAGTCAACACCATTGATAAAATTATTAAAATTCTGATTTTTGGAATTATTATAATTTATACTGAAGGACAATAATTCTAAGTAGGTACTTGGATTTTTTTAAATCGACAACGATGACGATGTCTGTCTGTCAATCAAATGGCGATTCAAACGAATTTTTTTCAAATTTGAACCACTCTTTTTTACTGGAAATCATTAAGCAGATTATAAATGAATGAAAGAGGGTAAACAATCTTGGGGATTTATTCTGTATTTCTTTGAATGTGTATATAATTATTACAAACGGGGCGGCGATCACCAACGCTTTTACGAGTAGGTATACATATTTTATATTTTTTTAATTTTATTCGGTATCGTTGTAGATATATTGTATATAACGAATAATGATAGACCATACTATTCATTTTTATAAAATAAACAGCGCACTTTTGAGTTATTATTCATAAACCCGCAATGTACCTACAATTGATATAATATATTTTATATTTAATTATTAAATTAGCTAAAATTTTAAGGCGTAATTTAAGGGGCTTTATTTAGATCACGTGATAATATAGGTACCTATACATAAATACATTTAAAATTCTGTATTTTAGCATAATTTGGGCCTGTGCGTGTCGTATGTCGATACATATCTAAATTGTCATACTGCTCTTCAACATATAAAGTGGGTTCCTTGAAAATGTTGCGTGTTCAGAAAATAAATTAAACAACGTCATTGCAGGCGCCAATTAGTAAATACTCCAAACAATACGGTAACGTTTAAATATATTTAATACAATTTTCAAACTCAACCGATATTTTTTTTATTTTTAAATACAATTATATTATATCAACAATAGTTGGAAATCTCTCGTTACCTATACGAAATAGGTTAAACCATTATAAAGGTATAGTGTATGTGTATTCAGTATTGTGTATCAGCGTTTTATCGGCGATTGTTGTGAATACCTCACGTAGTCACGTAGCTATACTCACGTTATATTCGCATATATTATATACAGGTAGCCAAGTAGGTTAGACCTATTACGATGGCACGACTTAGGAGCGGGGCTTTAGGGTGTTTAGAGAGCCCTCTCGCATGAGCAGTATATATTGACGTAAAATGTATATTAATCACAAATGTACTCTCGTAGGTATACACCGTTTCGCATTCGCATACACAACTTAAATATCTGAATATAATTGTACTCGTCATCGGTTTTGTCGGTTTACGTTATATATATTACTGTACTTTTGTCATTATATGGTATTCAGACATTTATATCCCTCTTGAAAACAATTTTATAGTTGCATCGTTAGGTAATGAGCATACAACATATTATTGTTATAACACAATGTTATAAACTTATGTACATACATTTTAGTATTTTACATGCGTAGGTACCTATATATATATATATGTCATATAAAGTGCTTACCTATATCCCATATCGTCGTCTTCACCACCCCAACCCCAAAACAGATTCGAGTAGCCGTTGACGAGGAAGTAATGATCCGGTCTTATGTTGAACACGCCACCCACCAACTTGTGGTAAGGTAATCTATAAGATTATAAGTGAAAAAATATTATATTATGGGTACAGACGCAGTGGGTAAACCTATGTGATATACAATATATCTATACTAATCTATTTTTTTTAAATATTTTTGTCCGAATAAGAATAATATTATATGTACTTTTAACCGTTTTAGATTACCTACCTATAATATCTAATATCGAATAGCATTTTTAAACTCATATATTATCCCTAATAAATTAATGAGTTATATGAAAACAAAATTGTTTCAATTAGGTATAGGAGTTTACGTTAACTGTACCTAGTCATCTGTACCATCTTATACACTCTGTCCATCGAGAGAACTCGCCGATTCTGCGCATCTCTACTCGACACCATGCCTTCGACAACGGTTCGACTATAGCAGGGATAGTTGCGTAGGGATGTGGAGAAGAACCGATTTTCATCGGGCAGTAACATGTTCTCTCTCTGAACAGAGTATTAAATATATTATAAAGAGACAGCGGCGTACGTGGAACGTTTCGTTTGTCCTCGATGTATTCAAAAACTACCTATACTTAACCAATTTTGATGTGCAGTATTCTATCATGATCTAAAAAATCTCAACTCTCAAGTATGACCTCTGGCCACTTGTAACTCGTAAGTATACGACCGAATCCGAGTCCTAAGTAGTAATAAGTGGTAACTAAAAATAAAATATACCCGCAGAGCTATATTTTGGAAACTCCTATCGGAAAAAAGGATTCATAACAGTAGGAGATAATAAAAATATAATTTTAAAACCATAAGAAATGGTGAAAACAATATCCAACAAAGTTTGAAAGTTGTCCAACAAATGGAGATGAATAATAGTAGCACAAAAAACATGTCCCAACAAACAGTTGCGCTGCTGGCGTGAACTTGACAGCTCAAAATTGGAAATTGGCCCCCTGTTAGAAATAATGTCCAACAATTAATGTTGTAAGTTGTCAAACAATATCCAACAATCCACCAACAAATGTGTTGGATTGATTGGATCGATGACTGCTAATGTTGCTCTGCCAAGTTCACAGAGGTTAAAAAAAGTTCATTTTTTGAGGTTCGTTTCACTAAAAAATTAATATTTGTAAAAATCAGTTTCCCGTAGACTCGTAATTTATAGTGTCGTACCAAGTAGGTACCTATCTATATCTGTGAACTCCAAGTTATAATCGGAAGTAACCCGATTGCGTGATTAACGATTATATAACATTTATTGCTAAACAGTAACCAATACATATTATTACCATACTTATTACATATACCTGCCTACCTATACATCAATAATTGAATAATGAAATTCTATACGCTAATGTTGAAAGTCTGTGAGGGCGTTAATCCTATTTTGGCTTTTCCTATAAAATTTATACTATCCGACATTCCGACGCCAATTAGTAGGAGAGCTTCTATATAAATACATAATATTGAGTATATAAACTTTATTAAAACCCGTCACGACGTCTTCATCAGACGGACAGTGTACATGGATTGTTAATCTAATAATTGGGACGACGTCGCGACCACTATTTATAGGTTATATAGGTTAGAGGTACCTATACATACATTTCGTTCATGTTTGTTCAACCGTAATAAAGAGGCTATAATATTAGTGCACTATAAAACCAATCGTGGGTATTTATAAAGGATAAGACTTGAATGTAGGGTGGATAATATTATATTACGTAGGAAAGTATTTTTGGCACGCTGATAAAATCAATGACGGTTTTATACTTGCGCCGTATTTCGATGTAATTCGGCAAAAGGCTTTCGTATGTTTTTGATGGTTTCTCGGAGGGCATTGGTTTTGACTTCTGGTTATCACTGTTATTATTTTACTATATCACGTTACCTACTACATATTATTATATACAGGGTGCTTCACCGAGTATGTTCTACCTCCCCCCCCCATAATAGATTTTGAAAGGAGCGATGTATTGATTTTACAATGATATTCTGTGGTTTTTTTCACCTTTTGGGGAAGTAAAAATGCTTCGATTTCAACTTCAGCATCTTTCCTGATAGGAAAGGTGGTAGGTACTTTGGGTGTCAAAGTTCTTTTTAAAAGCGTAGAGAAAAACAAAATAAATTTAAGAAAAAAAGGCAATTTTAACACGAAACCTCATTTTGAAAAAATGTATTTTGTTTGTCAGTGTTACTCGGAAACAAATAACCGTAGATACTGTAAATTTTCATAAAATGTTTATATGACTATTTTTCAACTAATTATTGACATTTTTTTTTTTTACCTATAAAATGTAATAAAAAAATGTTGCTGGCTCAAAATCTTGAAACTTTAATACGAGGTATTAGTAGTTATAATAAGAATTCAAAAATATTCAGTTTTTATACAAGCATTTTATGTTAAATTTACTAATTATAAAAGTTCAATTTAAAATTACTAAAATGTTCAAATAATTTCCATAGACCCTTTTTTCCACATCTATTATCTTTAGTACACACAGTTAAGTAACTCGAAAACTACTTATTCAAATTGTGAATATAATTTTCAATTGGAACGGTTAAAATGAAATGCAATGAAGAGCCGCGAAATAACCCAATAAATAGGTAATGTTGGACGGATAACGCAGCACAGGACAAACTAGTGCAAGTTTAGTGCATCAAGTTAAAAATGGAACAAAAGAGCCAGCGACGAGAATTTAAATTTCCTTTAATGATAATAATAAATATAAATTATCTTGTCCAGTATTTAGTGGTGTTTTTGTAATGTATAATTACTGCAATAATTATAGTTTGTTAAATTTATATTTTATTTTAAGGGGCCTGGTCGCGATTTTTCAAATTTTCCGCAATTCTATAAAATTTGAAAATTAAATTTTATATTTTAGTTGCCACCTCAATTATAAGACTTTTCCACTAATCTACTACCCAATACCTATTTAGGGGGGGTTGATAGGGTGTATTATATCGGTCAAAACACAGTTTACAGGAAAAACTCTCACACCTCGTAGATTGGTCCGATTTCCGTAATTTTTTTTTTGTTAGATAGAGGAATATTTTTTACAGGGCGCATAGGACTTCGATTTTTGATTATGTCGCTAAAAACAAAAAATAATACAAAAACTAAAAAGTTGTAAAAATTGATTAAATTCAAACTTGTAACATAAGACTTAGAAAAATAATTTTGAAAATCCAAGTCCAATGCGCCCTGTAAGAAGTCTTCCTCTATCTAACAAAAAAAAAATTACGGAAATCGGACCAATCTACGAGGCCTGAGAGTTTTTCCTGTAAGGCATGTTTTTGAGCAAAAAAACAGGTCGCGTGCAGGCCCCTTAATGTTTCATATAATTGCAGTGTTTCAGTTTATTTTATTTTGTAACAAGCATACGGCCTACTGCATTTTTATATAACCCTATGACGATAATAATATGATATTACACAATGTGGACAATAATATGGTAAAATTGTCTATCGAGATTGTACGTATTTTAAGGCTATCTACTATCTATATTATGCTTACTGATATTTAAATTCGTTGACGGCCACCGACAAGTGTCTGGGAAATTCCGGACAACTGTACATGTTTCTGTCGTCCTCTGGCAACATGTCCACGTCATGGAAGACATAGCAGCCGTACAGCCCTTTATGCCAATCACCCTCACCACGTAGGCCGTACGTACGGTAAATCGTCAAAAAAGCCGCATTCATAATTGCCCCTTTATTGAACGTTACATTGCTGACCTATATACAGACAAACATTTTGTAATTGCAGTAGGTAGTTCATATAATAACTTTTTAGTTTTTACCGCACTTTTTAACAAGTATATAGGTAGCTAAACAATATATTTTGTACGGTAAAAATAATAATAATAACGTATAGCATATTATAAAATAATGTTATTGATATGTTACGTACGAGAAATTACAGAAAACATAATATGTCGTCGTGATCATGATTTAAATATACAAGGTTATTGCACATAGCCCATATTGTTATCAAACAAAAATTAAATGGCAGCGTAAGGGTCGGTCCATATCATGCATATAATATCATAGTATAGCCACTATACCGGTATACGTCGTCCCCTTAAGCTTCATTTTAATTCCTTAACGTGATAAAATGATATAGTGGGGGGGGGGTACTATTGCAATAACCTTGTATATTTAAACCATGGTCGTGGTGATGAAAAAGAAAACTAATATAATATTTGGAATAAATCATATATTTAGATGTAAAATGTACCTATACTAGCACCATATATATCAACAAACATTAAATGTTGTTAAAATTTACAAAAATATAAATATTTCTTCAAATGTTTGCTCTTACTTTTATAATATAGACAGAACAATAACGATTTGTGTTTACCTAAATGGAAACTAATTTTTGAAGATTTTTATCCAATTTTTTTAAAATCTAAATCTCTAATTCCTTAGTAAATTTCTGGATCACGTAATATTCACTCGTGATGATAATAAAATCGTGAAAAAAATTCTCAACAAATAATTAATCATATAATAATATGCAAATGGCATTTAAATGCTAAATAGATAAGATATTTGCTTATTTTGCAGCACACTTCATGCTCATACTATATTTTTACGATTTACTCCTAATATGTACCTATACAAGTCAGACGACATCATTCGTTTCGTATATTTCGCGTACCTGTTCGACGACAAATATTTTAAAATCCAACTGTTGTCTTTTCAACACCGGTATGAGCCTGTACAACAATGTCCATAAATGATCCTTTCTGTCCCTGTATGGTATGATGATGCACACCGAGTGTCTGGCTTTACAATCATCCGGTGCCCAAGAACCGCCCACGCCCATTGATCCAACCGCGTCCACGATTTCCTCTTCGGTCATATTAACAGCGACACTATCCAATTTCTCAGCACCGTCTACAATTTTGAAATTCAAACAAAACACATAATATTACTTTAGTCTATAGCACTTTCGATCGGTTTATTCCGCATATCCTTGTGTGACATTAATATTGTCATTTTTCAAATGATGATACACATTGCACTGATGTACCATTATCGGTAGGTAGGTAGGTACATTAGGTAGATATGATATTAAATATCCGTATTCGAAATATATGATAGGTATATAATTAATTATATTGTTATACTAATATATCTCATCGTAGAGATGTTTAATTTTAACAGTAATGCTTTTTTTAATCGAGGTACTAAAGAATGACCATTGATCATATTTATGTTAGCTACTTATTTTTTTTTCTATATTTAGTAAGTTTTCAAATTTGAAGAACGTTTATTTTTTTTAGATGATAACCTAATGGTCGAGTTATAGCATTTTGAATGTAGCATATTATAAAACAAAATAAAACACATTTTTTATAAAAATGTACCTATACAAAACTTAAGTAAATACTAAGTTCTAAATTCTAAATAAGAATAATTCTTATAATTCAAACTATTTTTTTATGAACTGTAACAACAATTATTTTACTTATTTTTATTACACAGTAGTACTCAATGAGGATATTCTTGGTTATGGACTATGGTTATCGTGATTATATAAAATAAAAATAAATAAAAAGATATATATGTACTATTGTACTTAGATATATTAAAGTTGTTATTTAGTGACACTAAGCACATTATTACATCGATATATTCTGTGGTGTCACTAATGGTTAACAAATAAACTGATTAGGGTCACATGGTATACACGTGGTAATTGTAAATATATTTACAGTCTAGTCTCGATAACTCGAATCTCGAGGGGGAATAAAAACAAATTCGAATTATGTATTTTTCAAATTATATATACCTCAAACACAACTTGAAGGGCTGCAAAAAAAATATTGAGATATCGAGACTTAATTGTATAATATGACGTGTTATTATCACGGTAATAAGTACTATACCACTGTATAAGTGGCTAAGTATTGTATTTAATTAAATTATATAATAATATTAAATAATATTTGATTTAATACCGGCAACTGACGTTATGCGTCAAAGTCGAACTCAATTTAATAGGTAATAACGATTCTACATTTTAACTATTTTAAAAAATATGGTCTTGAACATTTCTATGATAATCGATTATCTCTGATCTCTATTATTCATCCAGTCATTAATATAAAAGGCAGCTCTGGTGGCCTCGTATCCAGCGGTACCAAAGCAAACAATATATATATATTTCTCAAACTACAAAATTATAAATGAATATTTTATTTAAAATCTTAAGGGGGTGGGGGGTTTAGCGTGATTAATTTCCGGTCTAAAACATAGCTCACAACTTCAATCAGTACGCCCAATATAATGTTCTGATATTAATTTTCAAAGCAGATTTGAATTTCTCACTAAATTATCTATACATTTTCATTTTTCTGATTTTTATTTTTTTTTACTTAGAAATGTACTAACAAAAAGAGTAAAAATAGATCCTATTTATAATTCAAATAAATACATTGATATAGAATATGAAAAATGGACTACAGTCAAAGCATAGTAAATTTAGAGGAGAATACAAAACTGCTTACAAAATTTAAATCGGAACATCCCTACTGAGTGTAGTGATTGAAGTCACTGGCAGTATATTTTGAAAAAAAATGTTTCTAATTTTCTAATTTATATTTTTTACTCCTTAGAATGGATTACGCTCCAGGCCTCTTAACTTAATTTTAATACTTCTGTATAAAATATTAACTTGAATTTAACACGTTATATATGTTACAAAAGTAGGTAACTTATTCAATTTAAAGTTAGTGGTTAAAAAAAAAGTGACAAGTAAATAAGTTTTAATTTTTAACTTCTTAACACCCAGCCCTTAAGATATTATACTTACATAACACTGGTGGTATTTTTGGGCACCATGGTTTTGGTCGACATGGTTCTAATCGTTCTGAAATTACATTCGATTTTTCTGCATTCCCTTGCAATTCCGCTAGTTTTCCCGCACAATATCCGTTAGCTTCATTCTTCAACTGAGTGACGAACAAGTGAAGGTTTGGTGGCTTCGACTTCAACAAACGTTCTAACTGGAAATCTTTATTCTGTGCACTGCTAGCTGGCTAATTTTCGAAGTATATTGTTATATTATTTTAAAATATTAAATAGGTTTTAATTAAAAAATGTCATAAACGCCTATATATCATATTTACGAAATTATACTTACATCTGGTTTTAATTTTGCCACATGTAAGCTGTTGACCTTCAGAGAATTTCGTTTTTGTAAAGCTGGAGCCTGTAAAATGATTAATACAAACATTTAAGCATGATGGGTACACAGAATATGCAATACTTAAAAAATACTACGAATTAGATCGACTCGATAAAATATAAAACTATACGCAAATAATATACTGTTTGTAAAGTATATCAACGACGTAGTCATCATTTAATTTTTTTTTTACTTTAAAAAATGTTAATTGGACACTGTGGTACTCGGAATTAATAATGAAAATAATCACAAAGTTCAAAACACCTAAAACGTCGACCAGGACTGAACAGTGAATACTTTAGTTTTTAAACTGTTATATTGTTTTAAAGCAATTTTTAAATTTTAATTAAAAATGATAGCTCATAATAGGTATATAATATATTATAAATTATAATATATATAAATATGTAATTAGATACCTCTAATTAGTCTAACTAACTAAAATCATTATTTTTCATATATACAGGGCAGTTGGACAGGCCTTGATCTTATAAATACAATTAAAAAAGTCAAGTTGATGAGGGGAAAAAAATGTATCATTTATATTTTAAACATTAGGTAATTGTTTTAATTTTTACTACCTATTTAGCACTTATATATTGGCTTGCGTCGAATAAAAGGGTCGAATTCTAAACAAATTAATGAAACATTTTCAAGCTGAATTTGATAAAAAAAAAAAAAAGCAAAACACTATCTTCGAAACACTCTGTCTCAAGAAGAAGCACCGTATTACTTAGCTGTAATATCTATAAAAAAAAGAAAATTCTGAACGACTAAAATATAATGATATTATTGACACATTTGCTGATTTAAAAAGTAAGAAGGTTAATTTATAGTATACTTTATATAGTTTTACTATATTTATTGACTTATTTTAAATTATATATTTGTATAGGTAATAGGTATGGATATTGTTGTATATTAACCATTAAGTTTAAGTTTATGACACGTTCTATTATTAATTTATATTTTAACTATTCATATTTTTGTAGGACTTCTGGACTCAACTTACTGTTGATTTATAAGTATATTTGGGCCCTTGCCCCTTTACACCTAAATAAACGATAATGACATTTTAGGCCTCACAATTTTATTCTGCCTGAGCCAGGAAAGTGCTGCATGTATATTGTATACTTTGAATTTTGTCAAAATCAGAAATTAAGTCTATTTAATAAAAATTGTGCTTAAGAATGCTGTAACCTAAGCTTTTATTAAATTCTCAAGCTTCTTGACTTGTAAACAAAAGTGTTTTCAACAAAAAGTCAAATAGATCAGACAAAATTTTTTTTTAATATTATCATGTCCAATAAATATACTTTGGTGAATCTTTCAAATAACTATTCCTTTTTAAAACTGGTGTAGCGTAAATATTTCAGTTTTCTTGTAATCTTTTTTTCGTTTTCTCCACGATTATTTGTAAAAATACCAGGCATTTTTTCTTCTAACCTTTTTTCTCTCCCCCCCTCAAAAAAAAAATAGTACCAATCGAATCCAATATTATACCATAAACCACACTTAGAGTTCAAGAATTTTTACTGCTTTAAAAGGTTGGACACAAAAAAAACTCGTCATCGTAAAACCAATAGCTGGTACATCAATCGCTCCGCTCGAAATATGTAAAATGCAAATGTGGAACAATGGCATATTTAGGTTTTTGTCATGGGGGGGGGGATATGATTTTATCCAGTAGCCTCGCTTTTAGAGCTAGGGGCTATAAGTTAGGACTCCAAAAAATTATGCACATTATATAAAGTCTATAAGGGGGGATTGATCACCCCGTAAGTACGCCACTGATGTGGAAATAAATGTCTTGTCTGGACATCGGCTACCATCGTCTACGAACGTTTTTAACAAAAATACCGTACGATTCACAGACCGAGTAGTATGTGTCCTTGTCCCTCAGCCACGTAATAAGCTAATATTAATTATTTTAAATGACACTCACGCGAGTTATAGCTATGAAGCACATGGCGAACACGACGAGCAACACTAAAACGAACGGAAGCACCTTGACTGTCCATGCCCAGATCTTTGCGGTCGGCGTGTAGCGAAATACTCGGGCTCTCTGCACTCTCACTACCACCATGACATGAAATAATAAGCCTCATGGCTCGCCTTACATGGACGCGCGATCCTCGAGGACACGCGAAACCCGATGAATGATATTATTATATTATTATAACACTATATACGATGATATGTCGTCGGGTGCACGGGTACTACCTATATCATCGTATTAATATCGTCGTGTGCCGTCGCAGACGCGAACGCCGTTGATCTCGGCGACGACGGTTTCCGGTCGGGGAGACGAGACTCGATGATGAGCAGCAGCAGCAGCGGCGTGGTCATAATATCGCTCGCGCGTACGGATTTCGACTGGCCGTCGGTGCTCCGAAAACTTTATGTCGAATACGGCAGGCGCGTAGTCATACCGAAGTACGCGCGATTTGTTTCGCGGTCGTCGTCGGTCAGCAGTGGTTACACACGCGGTTATGATAATTACCCGACCGCGGGTATACCGTTATTGTGGTCGGCAGTTGTTACACCGCAGCGTGCACACAGACGACTATCCCGTTGAACGCGGTCGCGCACATGCTTATTGATTTTTCTCGGCCATATGACCGGCACCACTCCCGGGCCGCACGAGCACGTCGACACGCGCGTATATTTTAAGACTTGTGTGTACAGGGCGATTACAATAACAAATAAACGTATTTGTCATTGTACGCATTGTAAACGTCATTATTGGTATCATTATAATCGGGTGACTTTTTAGCCATAGGTAACTATTTCCGTTTTCCAACGATCATTGATGCAGTTCTTTACTCTGTAGTATGTGGTATAGTTACCGTAGTTTAGTTCACCTAATGCTACTGGTAAATTTCATGGCGCCATCTTGTGGGTTACCGGCAATATAAATGTCAGACGCCGGGAATATAATACAATGAACCGTACATACAAGGTTTCTCATCACTAGTAATCAAAGCTTTGGCAGTTACTAGTTTAAATAGTCAAAGTTACTTTTTGATAACTTTTAATTTAACTAGTTAAAAAAAAAATAGAATGCAGAAAATAACTTAGTCACTAACTAAGTTATTTCTGTTATAAATATTGTAACTTAACTTAGTTATTTTGTTAAACTAAAGTTATTACAACAATTTCCTATTATGATTATGAATTGCTATATATTGCATGATATTCTGAGAACCGCCAGGCCGGAGATATATCTACCGACGATTGTAGGTATGTATATTATTATATTTATCACCTCGCTTTTGAGAGAAATTTTTACTTCTGACCCCCCAAAGTACCAACTAGATTCACTTTATACTGTTGAAGAAAATCCAAGCACTTTTACTGTCCTAAAAGGTGATGACAGACACAAAAAAAATAAAAATAAAAAAAAACACACATCAATGTAAAATCAATACATTCATCGTTCCACTCAGAATCTAAAATACATTAGCACAATTTTTTTTTATAAGCATTTAAAGTTCGAATTTCGACAACATTTTTTTTTTTTTTGTAATTAAAATATTTTATTCAATCTGTTTCAATACATGAACAATAAGAACAATTGATGAAAGTAAAAAATAAAATAAAATAAAAATAAATGACAGATTATCCCGAATGTAGAGGCCTCCCAGCGGAGGTACTACGACATGAGTAGGACTAAATTAGGCTAGCAGGTCGCGACACCACTGTCTTTTAAGTCTTTTAACTGGGTTACCTGGGATAGAAGCAGATGATAGGATGATAGGTCGGAGATTAACGGATTCTTATGGTGAGCTAGGCGGCTATTGAAACGTTTATAATGAGTTTTGGCTCGACAACATTTATCAAATTAAAAATGTAATAATTATTTTGTAGTTAAAAATGTATAAAATGTTCAACTTTTATATCTAAGGGTTGATAATTTAAAACAAGATTCCACGTAAGTAGTTAATTCTGTTACCAAAAAATCTAAAAAATACATAAGCACAGTTTATTTTTATAGTAATTTTAAATTCAAATTTGGACAAAATCATAAAAAAAAACCTAGAATAACTATTTTAGTTATATTGTTGTGATTGTATAATATTATTCGTTTGTACTTGAAACTTCTAAAGTACACTATTATATATCTATGATAGTATCAGGGTTTGTTGTTGATGTATAACGCGTTATAAGTACCTAATGATATTGTGATATGATTAATTTGGAATTTACTATAGGTCATTTAATATTTTAATATATAGGACTATTTGATAAATAGGTCAATTTATTATAATGTCAATTTTTTTTAATACCATATAGATATGTATATAATATGTCTTATACCTAGACTGACTACCGTCTCCACTAAGAATCGTTTTTCTTATACAATGATATTATATCATTGAATTCAAATTTAATACCATCTATTATTCAGTGACCCACTTGTAACCTACTGTACAGCAGAGCACCCTTTATTTATTTGTAATGATTTTTTTATAGATTGGGATTTTGGATCGGAACAACAATTTTTATTAAATTATTTTTTTTATATTAATTACAATTAGATAACGAACTAAGAAATAGCTAAATGGTTACCGAGTATTAATTATTTTTGAATAATTAAATAACATACTATCATATAGAGAAGATTGCAGTAAAAAGAGCTGATATCCTTAAATGTTATAATATAATATAATATTATTATATAATTGTTCTAATAGCAGGGAGCCCCTGCCTAATTTTTGTATGAATTAAAAAATCGTGGCAGAACGGTATATATAATGTATAACATTATAAATTACAGTTTTATTTTATTGTTTTTTATTTTAATAGCTTTCATATTATAATATAAATTAATATAGCTCAACGATAAATTATAATATTATATACTAATTACTAAATAAACTAATAGAACATATGCCTAATAGTTATTGTTAATTTAATACGTTCCTTGTTTAAAAATTATTAAGATAAACATATACAAAAGGAGTTGAACAATCAGATTTTTTTTCCAGATAGCGGAAAAGTTAAGATAAGTTTTAACAGTTTTACACTACTCTGCATACAGTTCAATTACTATTCATATAAAAAAAAACCGTTGCAAGATAGATAGACAGGATTTGTGGAACCACGAAACAGCTCCACAATTTGTAAACAATTATTTACGTTTGAGGAGCACGCGGGAAACAGCTAGTTATTATTATAATACCTATTTAATCTTATATATATATATTTTTTTTAAATGATTTGTGATATAAATACTACAAATCAATATACTTATCAAAAGCTATTATTTTTATTTTATGTAAATTTATTTTTAATTTATAATTTATATTTTTTATTTTGCTGGTACGTCGTGACTATATTATGAATGAATATATTTCATAGTAATTAATTAATAATTATATAGAAAAATTATAATATACTTTTTTCCGACGAATTCCCATGCGGCATGGTTTATTTTGATTATTATCAAAATACCGAGAATTCAGACTTCGTCGCGAATAGTGTGATAACGGATTACACACACTAATGTTCATTTACTTCTCACACATTGACACAGCCAAAATGTACATGTAATATGAAATGCCTAAACACTACTCCTTAATACATGGTATGCTTCAGCCCCGGTAATCTAAAATGTTCAAAAAAAAAACCAACAAAATTGTTGGCAAACATAGTTCATTATTTATAGTAATTTATTATTAAAATAATAAACATTATTTCGATTACTTATAGTGTACACATACACAAAAATAAAAAAAGTCGCTCTGCTGTACACTAGGCTACAATAGTGGGTCACTAGCTGTAATGGATGGTGTTAAATTTGAATTCAATGATATAATATCATTGTATAAGAAAAATGATTCTGAGCGAAAACGGTCAGTCAGCCTACGATTTTACAAAGTATATTTGATGATATTATAGTGAATAAAGTAATTTATATATAACCTATTTACGTGGAACCTTGTTTTAAATTTTCAATCCTTAGCTTTAAAAGTTGAACATTTATAAATTTTTAGCTACAAAATAATTATTACATTTTAAATTTGATAAATTTTATCAAAATGCGAACTTTAAATAATGCTTATAAAAAAAAATTGTGCTTATGTATTTTTAATATTTTTCCACTGATATTGTAACAATATATCAGGAGCCTTGCATTAAATTTTCACAATTTTTTACCCAACATACAACATTTTATTGAGATTTATAGAAAAAAAAAACTAAAATTATTTAAAACTGACAATGTCCGTAAACAACTCAAAAAGAGTCAAATTATTTTCAAAATTGTATGGTGTATAGAAAATGTATCTACAGTCATTTGTTTTTGAATAACAATAAAATGACAAAATCGCTTTATGAGAAATCGAGTGAATATTCAATATCGTAAAAATATGAAATTCTAACTCTCATAAAAATTTAATTTGAATTTCTTAGACATTTTTTTTTTTTTTGATAAAGGTACATAATCTTATAAGTAAAGCCGGATTTATATGTTTTTACATATCGTTACTGGGTATATGCAGTCTTATGAGAGTAAAAAATGTGGACGATTCGTTCAATTCTGAATACGTAGAAAAAAGTTTTTATTGCATATTTGAGAATATTTCATGGGTTGGAGAATATTTAACCCATTTAGCATATTTTGGAATATTTCGTAAATTGTGAGCAAAAATTTGTATTTATTTTTAATTTTAATATTACGGTACTCGGAAAAAAATGTTTTGAACATTTACAATTTATTTATTTATTTAATCATTTTGATAAAAAGAAAACACGCAGTATTATCAAGGTTTATCTATGTATATCTACTGATAAGATCAACGTATACATTTATCAAATATTCAAATATCAAAATTTTGTTTTTATGTTTTAATATTATAAGGTTATATTTATATTATATTCCAACTTCCTACTCTTACTAAAGTGCAATACGATTCCATTAGGTATAATACGCAACTTTTAATACCTAATTAATGTCTCACAATAAAAATATAGCTGAAAAAAATGTTTAAAAAATAAATGCATATTAAAGCATAATATAATGATGTTTTTTGATTATTTTTGCTAATTTAAAATTTTTAAAACTTCGGAACTTAATTTCTC